GAACAAAACCAACCAACCCCCCTCACACATGAGCAGATATGATTGACTGGATTGAATATTCTTTAACTAGCATCGACAAAGCACAAAGTTCATTTTCTTAATGCTTATTGCCATGCTCATTTCATCAACAGTAAGCTTACCTTTCCTTTCGGTCCAGATTGCTTAAAATATGAAAAAGAAAAAAATATATAAGATGCAAAGCCCCATATGTGTTGCACATCATTCAATTCAAAAGTTATTAAATATAAACTATAACTGTTTCATTGCCTCTTGCACTCACTGGACTAGTTTTAAAATTAGCATTATCATTATTTTTCACAATATTTTTGTAACAGTAATTATAAACACACAAACAAATGTTACTTCACAGACAGCAATGGTCAGTGGCCTAAATACAACATTGTCTTGCCTCTTTTTTAACGTGTAAAACTTGATTAATTCTGAACTCAACTTGGTCATCTCACTTAATTCACCGTGATGTAGAACCTGACATGACAGAATCCTAATACATGAATTAAGATCAAGCCTCATTTCCAACTCCCAATCGCCATGCAAAAGAAGATAAAACAAATTTATGTAACGCCTTGTTTCCAGCTATTCAAAAATATCTAAGTGTTTAAACTGAGAAAAAAGTAAATTAGAAAGCACTATAATATTTAGGAAACCACATGAAACCAGCTACTGGATAGAGCAGGATAAAAAGAAGCAACCAGCCTCCTCCTGAGGTTTTGGCTAAAAAGAATCTCCAAAAATATTTAAGAATTAGGGCAACTAGTTTCAGAAGCGTCTCCTTTAACATCAATGAACATAGCTGGTGCCCACAACTCAAGTCCTTTGTATACCAAGACCGATATAAAAATAGATCTAACGAAGCACAAAGGCAACTTGAAAACAGTATCTTTATCTGTCCTGCCTTTTCAAAACTTGCAATGTAGAATGCTGTAAGCTTTTAATCTACATGGCTGTTCCTCCCAAATAGCAAAAGCCTAACAAACTTCTATCATATATGCTTTACACTAACACTATTCTAAACCAGAACAAATTCAAACTGTTTCCTGTTTTACTTCAGTCAAATTAAACAGAGTAATGATACTACAGAGCAATATAAACTCATTTGCCTTTCCTTTTGACAAACAGAACATTCACAAGAACAGAGCACATTCTCTCTAACTCTTTGTTACCCAGAGGAATGGTAGGATCGAAAGTAAACCAGGTAAGAAGGTAATCCTGATGATCCTACAGAGTGCAGTATGAAAACACATTCAATCTCCACAGTGCTCTGGGTTCTGGGAAGTAAAAGGAATACAAAACTGAGTATGACCGCTGCAACTCAGACTGGGGTGGGGGTGATCAGTCAACGCTGCATGAAAGTGGGAAAAAATTGCTTCCAACTGGAGCTAGCCTTTACAAACAATAAACACTGGTTTTGTGCAGGTCATATCTGAGTTTATAAATCCAGTCAGATCCAAGCCATGTCCATATGGACCCATATCTAGTATCTTTGTATCCTTGGCACAGTTAATATGTAACTCGGATTAACTGTTTACAGGTGTTATAAAGAGTCACACTGTTAAGAATTGTAAATTTTAATGTTAAGAAAACTTAAGGCAGGAAAAAAAACTCCAGAATGCCTGATACTGTACATTGTGATTACATTAGATGCCTCACTTGCTTCTTTCAAAATCTCGTATTAATGTAATACATTTAAGAGAATTCTCATTTTTACATCTCAGAAAGATTAAGAAATGAGAATCCTGGACAGATCCAGGAATTATAATGAGCAGTGTCCCTACAAATTGCTTCATGCAGCTCATGCATAAGATTTGTTAGACATGCTGTGCATACATGCTACTCCGATGCCAAATCTTAGAGAACAGTCAGTCAATAGCATAAGATAGAACTATGCATCCATTAAATGAAGCAAAATAGTTCGAAGCAACTACAACAGTAGGCTAAACTGTGTCTGAAAATCTGCTGTATCAGAAGCAAACAAATTTTCATTTCATCCCTGGATTCCACTAGAAAAAACATGAATACTACTTATCAAAATATTATTTTGAAACGCCCAATTTTGTTGTACTGGAAACTTATATTTTAAATATGAGTGCAACAGATATTCAGACAGAATTTAAATTAACATGCATGTGCAAAAAAAGTTGGAGAAAAAGACATACAGTACACATCACAAGCTCCAAATTCAACTCTATAGAGATTACAACTGAGTTTCATAATTAGCTGCCCCATGTGACACCACCCCCACTCCAAGAACCCAGTATAAATAACAGAATCTGTAACATCAGTGCCAGAGACTCAGTCTGATCAGAACTAATTTAATCATGTTTTTATTTTTGGTTATCCTTTCAATAATCCACTATAGATTTAAGAACAATATGTTGGGTTAGTTAAAATGATTTTCCCCATGTTGTTACTGATCACCATACTGTAAAACAATTCGATAAATGCAAACACTGTAAAAGAACACAACTTCATGTTGCTTGTAAATTAGTATAGGAAAAAAACCCCAACACCTTAGAACTCAATTTCTGTGCTACCAGTTTTTCTTTGCCTTGATATATAACTAGAATTTTATTCTTGGTTTGCCACTCACATTTTCTGCATATACTCCTTTCGGAGGAGACACCATCAGAATTTACTTTTAAATTCAACTGTTGTCTAATGTTAATAAAAACCAGTAAAAAAAGATATAAAAAAATCACAAACAACTAAAAATATATGACAAAAACCCAACTTACCCACTTTATATGCACTGGAATTTTGTATTATGAACAGTCTTAAATAGTGCTATTTTAGTTATTTTTTTTCTAAGAACTATTGTCTCCTCATTCATAAACCTTCATTTTCCTATGAACAAGTCCCCCTTCTTTTTTAAGTAAAAAAAATATAGTGTGACAGGAGGCCATGTTCTATACATTTTTCAATCCCATAACTCCGAAATAGATTTAGAAGCTTTTAAAAAGTAGTTAGTTGAGTCAACTGGCAAAAGATACTGGAATTAAATATCCTTTGCACAGTTCCTCTGTAAAGCTCACCCTCAGTCAATTAGATCATGCTGGTTCTGACATCCTCCAGTACCAAAACATTGCTTGGAATTGTTATGACTGTTTCCTGCCTTTGAAACTCCTAAAATATTCTTAGTCTAATAGTTAATTGTCTGTTAATGTAAATGAACTAAAAAACAACCCTAAAAGAAAACGTATTTAGAAACATTCAAGATGACTACTATCCAATTACTTCATGCAATATTCAGCTTGCCTATATTACGCATTAGTTTTCTTTCTGTGTGTCACACATATGAAGTTGCTACTTCCCCCCCCCCCCACTACATTGTAGGTTTATAAAGAAGCAAGTCCCATAGGTGAGAAATGCAAGCAGGCAAGTCTAACACCCCCTCAAGATTAAGAATCTCTAGAGTGGACTCTTGCATGCTGAAAAAAGCCTACAGCACTTAAGTAGGTAAGATGAATCCATGCTGACTGGCTGTTTCAGAGTCATCTTACAACAAAGCTTAATCAAGTACACTAATATTATTAAGGTCAATATTCAGAGATCCAAGAAAAAGCAGTCTCGCATGATTTTGCTTACTTCAAATAATTTTAATTAGCACTGCAGATCAAGATTTTATCCCTTAGAATTACAAAAAAAAAAGTGAAAGATAAGGGCATGAATGCTTAGACATACCCCATGTTTTCCTCACTGGAACACTGAACAAAAATATTCTAAAAAGCACTGCATGTAAGAAGAACAGAGCACAGGTGGTTCAGCATAAACCACCCTGAAAACATGAATTTCATCTTTTAGTTTCATTTGTGGAAAAAGTTCCTGCTTAGTCATCCCCGCCTTGCAACGATGGGAAGAAACATAAAGAAAACGGAGATGTCTACTACTGCATCTGCTATTACTAAAGGGAAGGAAATGTCCGTGCTATTTTCCATTCACAAATGATAACACAGTTTGAAATGGAAGGACACAACAATGGTGTAGGTCCTCAGGGACAGGACTGCAAAATCCATTTTTCAGTCTGTTTCTTCAATGCCAGTTTACCCTAATACACATTTGGATCACATCATTCATTCTCATTAGTATATGGGCTTTGTTTTTCTGAAGATAGCAAATGAAAGTGAGGGAAGTGGGATGAAAAGGAGGATGATGCCTACATATGATCCCACACCCCAAAAAATCTACACAAAAAACAGACAGGAAAAAAGGGAGCCGAAGAAGGATGCTTCAAAATGCTGACAGACTGAAGCAATCATGTGGGCTGGTATAAATTCAAAAAACTTATAGATAAAAAGAGCTCTGAAAGGATAAATTTTGAAAGAAAATTCATTAAAGCAATGGTTAGCTCATACATTTGACACACATTGGGTGTGAAAAGCCTGCAAAAAAAATTTATAAAACCCCACAAGTTCTAGAAGTCTGATGTAGTTTTAAGTTTTCAAAACAATGAAGCTTAATTTAGCATAGCTGAGTAAGATTCCCCAGTTTCCAGTCATCCATTCTAACAGATATTTATATAAATGCAAAACCTTGCATCTGTGAGATGTCCCAGTTTATATGTCTTATTTAAAGACTACATATGATCAATATATCTATAACTTAATCTTCAGATGGATCCTATAGAAGCTGGTGAATTCATATCTGATGATCATATTGTCAGTTATGTAAATTTCTACTGCATACTATGTTTGTCCATTTCAAAGTATTTTCTAAATATATTTACATTAGCAGGTGCTCTCCTACTGGATATATGTCATAGTGTGATTTAAAATTAGTAAATTCTAAGATTATATAATAATAAGTCCTAAATGTTAAGTTTAATGAAATTTTAGTAATTAAGATCAAAGCTCATCATCAAGAATGCACCATGTAATTACTTATGTTTCCTTAAAACTCTTCACAGCATAAGGAAAACCACAACATACAAAACCAGAAAGGACTTTTTACAATGGGAACATCCAGAGAAACAAAAGTAGTCTTACCTTTGGGCTGCTGTTTTTACTACTGCTGTCTGTGCATGCGCATGGTGAAAACGTCTACCATGTACCACAGTTACAGGACAAGACATATTCTGAGCATTTTCACTGCAAACAAACAGAAAAATGGTTTAAGAAAAGACTCTGGTGTATTTGCATATTGTCTTAGCTAAAAATTGTGGTGTCCTGCTTCTACAGTAACAGCCATACAAAACCAAAAATCAACAAAGTATTTCTGAATCAATAATACAACTTGTTAGGATCCTCTGACAGGCATAAACACATTCAGTCCTAGAATAAAATACACAAATAAGAATATACACAATCTTATTTCTTTTCCTGGAAGGAAAGTTAAAGATCTTTTAAAATTTTATCACCATCCAAAACACTGTGAACCAGTTCTCCTTTACTTAACACTGTCATTGCAAAAAGACACTGCCTTTTTTTAACAAATTATAGCCACTTATAATAATTTTATACTTCCATCTATACATTTTATTAAGGCATAATATAAATTTCTTTAATATGACTTAAAGGGCATAATGTGAACAGACTGAATTGCACATTCAGGAATTTCGCTCATTACTCATAAGGGAAAATAAATGCAGCAAATTTATAGATGTAAGATGGCTGGTAACTGAAACAACACAACACATCTCAAAAAAACCCAAAAGATTCTCAAGTGCTCAAAACCATTCTATGATTCTAAATATCTCAGCAGGACTCTGCACAGAGATACTATATTCATCAATGTCTTTGAGCATTTCTTTGGTTTCTTCATTTGTTGCCTTTTGACACTTTAATCTCATTGTTATGTAAAACAATTAATTCTGGACAGAAGATTACTTCCCATTATCGTCTCTAGTAAAAGATGATATAAAGATACAGTAGATCAATAATATAGTACTCCTTCAAAGACCGTTAGACCCTAACGATCATCCTGCATGTTTCTGTGACAGGACACACAGTACTACATTTGAAATGTAAAAAAACCATGCAACTTTTAACAGAGAGCATGTTGATAATGCAAAGTGTTTCAAATTATGGAAATACAACACTTAAATTTTGCTTGTAAAATTGCCTGGAAATTTTAATTGCACTAACTAAAATGATGTGAAAAAGCATTCTGATTGATTCAAAATATTTCTCAGAAATATTATTCAGCAGAAGTTTTGCTCCTGCTGTTTGTTCTGTTACGACCAATGAAAAAAACAGAAGTACCAGAATTTCCCCAAAAGCTGGCAACTAATTCCTAATCCTTCCTTTACATTCCCCCAAAAGATGAAAGCAAGCAAAACGCTAGCTTGCTTTTTAAATTTCTTTTCAGTTTAGCACTACAAATCCTTTTGGGAGCCTTATATCGAGTATCATAAGTCAGTATTAGAAGTGTTCAGAGCATTTCTGACTGATCCTAAGATGACTGTTACGATCGGACTGATTGTGAACATAACGGAACAAGACCTATCAAAGCCAACCAAATGGTAAAACTGTCTTTTCTAGAATATGAAGTTTAGAAGCATCATAAATGTTCTGAGTTAACAGTTCAACTTCCTCAGAACTAACTTAACAGCAACCCATTCGATCACCAACCTCTTGAAAGCAAACACACTCATCCCACATGCTTCCAAATCAAGACTATACAACTCCAGCTGGTCAGTCATCATCCAGACTAATTTACAGTCAACCTTCTGTTTAATGTTGTCACCTGAGAAATAAAAAGCTGACAGCTACATGCCCTAAATACTTTAGGGTGTCCGAAATGCTCTCTGGCTTCCAGTTTAATGTCTTTGAAAGGGATACTAGGAAAGAAAACACAAGCAGAGTGCAAGAATGCCTTCTCAAACGCTTAAGACTTAAGGAGTTTAAACAAACAAGCAAGTCTATAACCACATCTATCTCACATTTTACCATTTTACTTGTTGAAACCGAGTTTTGCCAAACTATCAGATTGGGAAACTTTAAGTCTTGTGCCCCTGTAGCAAAGCAGTGCTTCTGCTTTCTGCCTCACACTCAAGTAGTGAGAAACTCCAGTAGGTGCTGGAATAGAGTATTGCAGCTTGCTGGGTGATCAGATTTGAGTCAAAGCAGACTGATCTAGATGGCACACTTAAATGGTTCATATGGTGTCAGATATGCTTCCAAGTCGGACAGCTGTAAAATACAATCTGCTCTATAATCCTGTTCTTTGAATAGAACATACCCAGTGCAGACAGAATCACCAGAAAACATAAACATGAAGTTCTAGCAAGTTGCAAAATGGGCACATCTGAACTGAAATCTGCGTTTGCAAGTTTCAGCACAGTTTCAAGAAAACTAACATACAACACTAAAACCAGGGTGATGTAATGGTTAGAAAGTTCCTTGAAAGAACAAACGTTCTAGAAGTCTCAAAGAACTTAAAATATATTAACGATGTATCCTGCCACTCATTCCCTGAATTTTAGGGAATATTGTACTACAATAACGCTAATCTGAGACAAGACCCACCAATCTGAAAAGGTTTTAATCCCTATTCTGCAGACAAGGTGCAAAAAGAGACTTCAACTTTGTCATAAAAATCACAATGAACAGCTCAAGAATCTCAAGTATCTGATCTTCTCATGCTTCATCTAGTAGCTTAATTGCATGATCAACCTTCAGAACCTTCCATGCTGCAATGTCAAAGTGAACACACTACCAATCTTCACTACAGACAGTGACTAGGGTAACAAACCTTTACTGATTTGGGGCTTTTGCTGTGATACATGTGTTATGAAAGATAAAACCCTATCACACAATTAAGGTATTAAATCAAGATAATCACTTATAGCATAATCACATTTCCAAGCAGACTTAGTGACCAAAATCTGAAAAGGTGTTAAATAATGTTGGTAGCGTTAGTTTTCACAGAATCACAGAACAGTAGGGGTTGGAAGAGACCTCTGGAGATCATCTAGTCCAACCCCCCCTTGCTAAAGCAGGTTCACTTAGAACTTTAAATGAAACATTCAGTGTTTACGGCAGTCACTGTGGCCTATGCACATCCATTACTCCCCATTAAATTCCTTCAATAATGGCAGTTTATTAAGAAGAAGGTAGAGACTTGTATTTTCCAGTTATATTCAGCATGCAGCTCAGTACTAGTCAGAAGGTGGATGCCTGCTTTCAAAGTAGATGATGTGACCTTTAAGTAAGGTAACAAACATGCAACAGATTTTACTTTTTTTTTTTTGAATTTCATAAATCATACCAGGTCTTAGGTTTATAATGTAGCATTTGTCAATAGAAGGCAGTCCCAATCCAAGTAACAGACTGTCTCAACTAAATGTTTAGACTGTCTAAAAAACCCTCAGCAATTATTTACCTTAAAAACAAAATAAAACCCACATACCTTTCTGGAACTTAAAAACACACACATACACAGTCAAGTATGACTGCTTTAATAGAAAAGAGAGAAAAATTACATAGTAAGGCTGGATTTCACTACAAATCCTACAGCCAGGCAGAAGAAAATTCTAGTTTCCAAAGGATTAGAGGAATCGTATTTTAAATGGTTACGTGTACTCAAAACAAGCAACAAATATAATGTACATGCACAGGCTTCTTCACTACTAAAACAGAGCAAAGAAGTCCTGACAGATTTATAGCAGGCATTTTTATCTTTATGTCTATGTTCAAGAACAGAATCCTAAAGAATGGAAGTAAACTGGATGATTCCATGAGAACTGGCCAATCTGAACAACAGCAAGACAGAAACCTGGATATAATCTTATAAATCCGCTGTGTGTACTAAAAATTAAAGACTGAAACACAAAAAATCATTTGCATAGCATAAATCAAGGATAATGAAATACTATGCAAGTTTTTACAAATGTAAAAAGAATTAAAAAAAAGGGATGGAAGTACCCACGTTCAGAGTTAGCAAGAGCTGCCAAGGAAGTGCTTGAATGTGTGGAAAAATGAGACCCCTGTGCAATGACACAACTTTTAACCTGTAACAAAAAAACCCTGCCATTATTAAATCTATTTTGTTTTAAAAAAGCTTTTAAGTTCCAAATAACATCCTGTTAGCCTATCGCAGAAACCAAGACGTTGTCTGTATTCCCATCAAAGGAAGGGAGGGAAAAATGTAGATGCACTCTTACAAAAAGCTCAGTGAAATCTTTCTCTTTACGTGTCTGATCATGTCTGATCTGTGGATCTCCTCTGATCAGGTCTGAAACATCATGGAGAGAATACAATGTTTGTTTTTGTATTTCATCGGACATTAGGAAGGCACCAATTTTGCTTTAGGTTTATACAAACAAACCTTATACACCAAAATGCTATGGGCAGAGGTCAATTTTTAAGCAGTGATGGAACGGGAGAGATTAATACTTTTATATAAGTCTACATGCCTTTGTCTTCATTAATAAAAATTTAGCCAGAAATCATGACTCTTCAGACAAGTTCGTTATTGAAAACTTAATACAATGTAAATAAAGTATTAAAGACACTTAAGCTTATTCAGAATAAACTAGTATATAATACTTCATATCCTGCAGTTACTGTTCCAAACATACATTACATATACCCAAACAATCCCCTATACAGTGGCATGTTGGTCATAATAACAATAACTTGAACTATTACAAGTGCAGAATTTTACTCATCACTGAAAGTTCCACTGCTCTTTGTCAAAACTAAGCCACTAAAAAAAAAGAATGCAGCATAAGAATATCCTTCATTCACCTAATAAGCTAAACTATTTTTATGTGGTCCTTACAGCCATAGTCCCTAACAAGAAAATGTTCATAAGAGGTCTTATTTTATCAGAAAATCAGGATCTGTGGGGGTTAGTTTTGTTTTGGGTTGGTTGGTTGGTTGGTTGGTTTTTTATTTAAGAGCATCCATGAATTTAAGACCATCCAGACCAGCTACAGAAAAACTAAATTAGAGCAGTATGTATCACATTTGGTTAAGGCAGTGGGTAAAGGGTCATCTAGGTTTTGAAATTCAAGAAGATAGATTAATATGTGGGAATAGGTTACAAGTACAACATAAAGGCAAGAAGAGTCCTTATTTTGACTGAAGTATGTACAACTCTCGTATTCGTTCTACTCTATCAAACCCATGGACCACCAGCCCAGACTGGAAATTCTGGATTTGTTCCCTGCACATCAGGCTCAAAGATCAGAACAGCAGGAGAGGACACACATCACATAGAACTTCAAGGATTTCCTCAAGTGATTCTGTGATAAGAAGGTCCCAATAACTGACAATGCTCTAGGAATCAGCATGCAAGAATGAAGACAATCCTGAATGAAGACAATCCCTCATACAGCTGCATATGAGTTAGATATTAGATGACTGGCCCAACCATAGCTAGCTATCTTACGAACTTTTCCTTCCTACAAAGGTAAGCAAATTGAGTGCACTTTAGCAATATGAAACACTCCTAGAGAAAGGTATGTGAACATATCAATTTTTATTGTACACTAAATAAAGAGATCAGTCTGTTACAAACTAGGAACCGTAGTAACAAGCAAGTACAGCACTGAATGCTTAAACATTGTTTCTGTCAGCTCTAAATGCAAGTGACAATCTCAAGCTGTCATGTAGGAGTATGGATATTTGCTGAATCCTTTAAAGGAATGGTCCGTGACTTCTAAATCAAATGATATCTTGCAGTAAGGAAAACAGAAAACACATCCTGATTTAACCTTGGCAACTCAGCATCATGAAAAGATGAAATTCTTGATGGGGAAATATTCTTCTACCTGCTAGCACTGTATAGAGGAAGTTACAGCACATGCAGACAACGTTGGTAAGGCACTGACAAGTATACCACTAAGTGCTTTACTTTAATTATCTTCTGGCATTTTACTAATGTGCTGTTTAACATTTTGGAAGAGGAAAGACCTTAACAATCTAGCTCTGTTCATTTAGAATTGATTTACATTAATGAACAAGTAGGCAAGTAAATATAAAACTAAATGTAGTACCTCAGTTTCTTGCTATTTCCCATCATGTTGAGGCCAATTGAGTTCCCTTTAAAAAGTCTCAAGCTTCCAGCTTTGCCTCGCCTTGCATATGTTTTTATGGAATCACCACTGGTGCCGACAGCTCCAGGCCGACAACGAAGTGACTGTAACATGAGAATTCACATATATTAAAATACTCATATAAAAGCTAAAAGGAAAAAACAAATTGCAAAATATTTATATAAATGTTACTTTGGCTTCATTTTCAGACTGCTTTTGTACCAATTTTTATGTAAAATACACCCCATCTACACCCTTACTCACTAGGCATGTTACTAAACAAAATATGAATATTTTCAAAGTATTATGAAGCACCTTGCAGTAGTAAGCTATTTCAGTATACATCAAAAAACATAAAAAGCATGGTTTTTGCCTATGTATCTTCTCCTGTTATATAAATATACACACACACATATATGCATACAAAATTGGGAATCTGACAGTAAGTAATCATGGTATATAATGATTAATATTTTTAATTTAAAAATATAATCCCTTTAATGATAATTGTCTAAACTTAAAACTAGTTATTTATGGTCAAATTTTTAGAATACTGTACAAACCAACAAGATTATAGGAACAGAGAAACAAAACCAGTAAGGGTAGACAGATAAACAGTTTGTGCATATTTTGCTACATCAACACATAAACTTTCATTTTGTAATACCGCACAGAAGACTATAACACATTGTTTGAGAACCTAGCAAGCTTTAAAGATACTTTTTCAGCATAAACAGAGTACTTACCTTTCTTTCTTCATGGGGACTGAAAGGCCCATCACTGTCATCTATGCTGAGCAGATTTGCCTCACTGGATAGGTGTGGAGAGAAAAGTAGATACATTGTAATGCAACAGAGCACCAGCAAAACATTTTAAGCACACAAAGGGCATTTTTCCTTCCCTCTTAAATTCCAATATATCACATACACATGGTTGATATATGCCTAACATAACAGGAACAAAAAGTGGGCAGGGTAGTGATCCAGTTGCATCATGTGAACCTGAACTTAAAGCATACATTATTTCACAAAAAGTAAAATTAAAAGGATGTTATGAATTCAAAATAGAGAATACTACTGAACCTTCAATATTGTTAAGGCAATGTTAGTGACAACATGAAAGATTCTATACAACCCTATGCGTAAATTGAGTCAAATACTAAATTAACCTATAAAACATAGTATTAGTTTGCTCATGAATATCAATGTTCAAGTATGTAGTTTAAAACTGCAAACTTCACAGTGCTTTAGGAGAAGAACTTACATATTACTAAATTTTAGCCCATGGCAATCACTGCCAGAATATGTCTTTCTAAAAATAGTGTATTCAATTTGGCTCAACTGCTCATTAAAATGTGTTTCTTTAGTACTTCTATGTCTGTGATCTTCAACAATTATAATGGGGAAGATACAAAAAAAGAAACCCAGCCCATGACACTGTGAAAACATACTCTTTTCAGTAATAGGCAATTATCCTCAAATAACCTTAAGTATTTAAATTAAAACCCCAATCATACATTTTATACTGATAGCAGCTAGATTGGCCTAACACACTCTTGCTTCCAGGAGAAGCAACCTGCAGATAAATGCTTCTCATCAATCCTGATAAGGTTACTCTTCTCTTGGCTGTAACAAAATAATGTTTTAGCCAACTCGTGATGACGTGGTTTTGGGGCATTTTGATTAAGACCATTCAGGCAGAAATTACTGAAGAATACAAGTAGTTATGCCAGAAGGTCCAATGAACAGCTACAGAAGAGAAACAGTGATGGAGGTGAAGGTGAAAACATTTCTTAGCTGCAGGTATGACATGTTGACTGCAATATACATAATGACTTTAGCTCTTTATACATAAGGTAACCACTCAGTACTCTGCCCACCCCACCCCAATTTCCTAAAAACTTCTTCCACACACAAGATTCCCCTTCATGTTACAATTTATTCCTTCATCTTATGTAATACAGACATCCCTACATCAAATAGAATAAAAGAAAAAAGTTCTTGACTCATAGGGTGAAAGAACTGCAGACCCAAAAAGTTTAGGAGATAAGATTGTGTACCCAGTTGGTTTTGATGTGGCAAGAATGATGTAAATGTCAACATTTAGCCAGTGGCACTATTTTCCTTTTGTTTACAGACCACAACAATTCTAGGTGCTTAATGGTAAAAAGAACAGTGCAGGGGATGATCACTGATTTCCAATATAAAGTGTCACAGAGTACTGTTGTACTTCTGTACAGACTATCCATGGATAATAGATTTGTAAAATACTGTAACAGGTTTTTTAAACTCTCTTTCAGGATAGATTACTCTTTCAAGGGAGACTCGCTGAGCTTTCTCAACCCTTCTTCAGAAGACAATGAGTTTAACCATTTCAGAAACTTTCCAGATCTTAAAGAATCAATGAAACACTGCGGCACAGACATGAATAGCAACCTGTGGTACCTGCAGCTCTGGCATTCACCTGCTGTGTTGACCTAGCCAGATCATTTTATCGCTAGACACATTTTCATTCTTCAGCTCCAGGTCCCACAAAAATCATGACAATTTTTAAAATGCCCTTGTACAGCAGCTAGACTTTTAGAGCTTTGAGATGCCACAATACTGCAACCATTTTAACAAAGGGTGTTTGGGCAGGTGAGAGAGAAGGTTGACAGATTACAAATGAACAAAATACTGAAAAAAATCCTTAAATCTAACTGAACAAGAAGAACTCTTATGATGCAACTAAGATGACATGACCAGAAAACTATTTGGGAATTGGATGTTTTCAAAGAACCATTTTTTTTAGATTTTAAGGAATGCAAAGTATATGCATCAGTACCAGAAAGGCTGTTTTTTCAGAGAGCAGAATACATAGCAACTGAGTAATGTCTATTTGCTCATGTATCACATGCTTACAGTTGCCTGCTTAAAAGATGCAATTTATACAGACAGGAAAAAAACCCACATTATACCACACTCCTACGTACCAGACAATAACATTTTAACACTACTGAAATGAAACCGCAGTGGTCTTGCTGAGAGGAGGCTATGCCTCCACACTTTGTCACTTTTAATCAAGGAACCAGAGAGAGATATTTTCACATTAGAACAATAATTTCTAACTTTTCAATACTTTAATTAAAATTTTGTAACAAATAAAAGTTAGGTCTTCACTAAAATTAAGAAAAAAAATAGAAGTAATTCAGGTGAACAGGGTTTTTTTCCAAAGGGGAGTTCATAATTATGCATTCAAATTTAGGCATTGAACAAAAAAATTCTGATTTTTTTCAATTAATTGAAAAAAAATTATCTTTACTTATCTCTAATTACTTACCATTTGTTTAATGTTTAAAAACTTTAAGAACTATGCAATAGCTAGTCAGCTACCCCAGTTTAATAAACCATGTTTACTACTACCTACAAGCAATCCAACTTTAAACCTCTGTTGATCATTGAGGTTACACTCCAATGAACTGCAAGCACAATTCTATCAACTACCGAGTGATCCAGTCACATTTCAAACGTAATTGGAATTTCTTTCTGAAAACTCTTACATATAAAAACAGGAGGGTGACATATTTCCTCTCACAGCCCACTGTGTACATTCTTTATTTTAAATTACATGGTGGTAGGCAGCACATTAAAAAAAGCCCTGATACCAGAGGCACAAGAGAAGCAGTGGTATTATTCAACTCATGCACAATGCCATCCTGTGAAAAATAACTGTAACTAGAACTGCTAAAAATTAAGAACTGAGACTCCGAACAAAAAGGTTTTTATCAATTTAAAGGCTATAGTGCCTTACTAACAGGGTCACAAAAGAAGCATAAAACATCTATATAAATATGGGGTGCTTTTTTGGGGGAAAGGAATACAAAGGAAAAAAATATTGAAATAAAGCTAAACAGAAATAATAATTAAAAAAAAAAGTTATTGCTTTTCCAGTCAGGAATACAAGGGAACAAGCAGTTTATCCCCCTAAATAAAAGGAAAAAATTAAAACTTTTTGAAAGAAAATGTTAGTGAAGAAAGGATACCATAATGCAAATAAATTAGACAGAGCCATTTATTTGTATTCAGGTTTTTTTATAAGGCTATTATTGAACAAATCTCAGTGGAAGGCCAAAGTCTAGACTATTAAAAAAAACAGTATGACAGCCAAGAGAAAACTGGGCCCATCAGTTTACAAAACCACTGTGGGGCACATTGAGACATATTTCAAAAATATTTACTCGGTTATTAAAAAAGGAAGTAAATATAAACTATGCAGGACACGTCAAGAACAATCACCTGTGAAACTAGAAAGCATCTTATGTTAATTTCAGCAATTAATTTAATGAATATATTACTTTGGCCATGTTTGCATAAGTTTGCCATCCTTTCACATCTTCTGCTACATGAGATACACATTGTTTCCATCATTTATTCTGTGATGGTCTACACAGGTTTCACTGTGTTCAGCTGACCAACTGGTCTTTATTTTTTCCTATTGTTCTACATAAAGGTTGTTCTCCTGTGCAATCTCCAAGTACAAAGCAAGAAAAATCTCAAGTCACTTGCTATCTATCTTCAGTAGATCAAATCTTGTAAATCATCAAAAATGCTACTTTTACTCTTTCAAGTGGACTGAAGATTTTCTTCAGGCATTTACTTTGGGATAAGATACTTGTCAATCACCATTTTGAATTTCCATAACTCTAGTTCCATGCTGAGTATAAACTCTAACAGCATTTTAAAATGTATATATTGTGCTGAATGATCATTTATTTTTCCAAATCTTCTTCAGTTTACATAAGTTCTTTACTCTTTTTGTGTTCATTACTTGAAACCTTACCATTATGACTCAGCCCATTTAATTCCCCAAATAAGTTAAACAACATACTTCTTTTAAAATAATCTACTTATTCAAAAAATTGTTTTGGTTGGAGGTCATGAGCCACATATTTTGTGTTCGTCTCACTGAGGAAAGATAATCCAAAATGACATCCAGTATTGACCATCAACATTAGCACAGATCTCATGGGGTAATACAGGAATATGACCAGTCCTTTAAGTGCTGTAACATTATTCTTGGGCCAGTTCAAAACAAACTTATTGTGTGTCTGCCATTAGGAGGGCAAAAAGCTGTGGTAAGGTCAGACACCAAAATGCTAGTGCCTCAACAACAAGCATGAGATGCATCCAGACGTGTTTCAGATCTACAGCTTTCCCCAGGCAGAAACACAGTAAATTACAAGCATTGCTAGTAAATATCAGCATACCATAGTGAATAATAATGACATTTTTTAAAAAATTGCCCAAATGCATACTTACTGCATAGTATACTCAAAATATTGGGGGACACACAAAACTTTATGCTGGAACAATTCTATGACCTAAAGCTGCTTATCTTTGAAATGTTTTGCTAAGGGTAAAGGGAATTCAGAAAGAAAAGAACAATTTACTGTCAAGTCATTTGTTTTTAAAGATTCCCTTCTATCAGTATTTTGTTATACAAAGTAAAAATGTATTAGAAAAGCAAAACACACAAATTATTTCAAAATGCTCAAAGTTTACAATGCCATTAAGACAAAAAAAAACCCCTAGGTGTTACCAAAAGTGAGTATGTGGGCAGCTTAAAACATATAGTTGTTTGTAGGGAGTGAGAAGTTGCCTGAAATGCTATTGGAGGATGCGTAAGCAAAAAAGGCAGTATCTCCAGTTTAAATCCATTTTCAGCTACTCTTTTATCTATACTTCCAGGTAAGATTCTAGATAATTCACAGATATAATAACAAATTACTGATGTGAGTAGGTAATAAAATTTCAATGCTGGCTACAGGAAAACTATTTATCATACAGAATATTTGAAAGGAATGAAAAATCACTCAGAAATACCATCTTAAAATCAATACAATTGTATAAAACATATGTTCCATAATCAGTTTTTCAAACTTTTTTTTAGCATCACTACACTACACACATCTCACTTGGTGTTCTTAAGTCAACATCAGATGGAGACAGATGGAAAACACCAGTAAATTACTAGAAGAAAAAAGCTGCTATGTTTACAAATCTGAGTTACTTCTATTTCTGAAGACAAGAAAAACAAAAACTGCATTGTAAGTACTGCAACTACACTTAAAACATATTACTTGTGGACCAGAAATGGATATAAAAATGCTAAGAAAAAAAGCAAGTTTAATTTTATAAAACTAAAATGCCCATAGTTTGAGAACCTTTTAGAAAGCGGTTTTATCTTCTGTTTTGACAAAAATGCTTACCTCACATTTCAATGAGCTCCTGAACTCATTTTTTAATGACTAAAACATCACATTTCTTAATGTTTTTCTAAGACTATAGCATAGCCTGCTGCTGCAGACTAAGTGGTTATGTGTCTACTTTCCTCTCTCCCTTCCAACACACAATATGTGGCAGAGTATTACAAGATACAAATTCACGTAAGAATTATTTTTGTACTTAAACACAGGATTCAGCTTCTCCTTACTAGAGAATCATAGTATTCTTTTTAAAACTTGCAGGTCCTACTGTCTAAATATCTAAGAACAACTAAACCTAGTATACGTTCTTCATGCATGAAACTTGCTGTTCTTTTAACAATTCATTAGTCTTTTTTGACATAAATACATTAATATGGAGAAAACATATAGTAACAATAAAACATCACAAGGGCAAAGTACGTATTCAAACTTCACACATAGGGTTTAAGTTTTAGTCACAATCCAAACATACTAAGTAAAGAAATAAATCAACAGGGAATCAAAACAGCCTTAACTCTACCCAGTGAGAAAAACTTGTAGTCTCATAAACTCAGTTTAACTTAATGTAGGCCTACAACTACTGAAGTGCCTTAATCATAACTGTGAAGTACCGAATAGCATTGTCACTAAAAGGAAAAGTTGAAGCTACTTGGATACCCTACCTTTCCATTTCCTTACTTTGCATGTTAACATATTTCTTGTCTGTGTTCCTTAGACTTACAGAGTATCTCCAAACACAACTGCAACACTTTAGAAATGTACTGTGCCCTGTGTTGTAAGCCCCATGTTCACAATTAAATTTACATTTAATGCATTTTTATATGGCAATACTAGTTGAAGTAACTTCTTTGAAACAATTTTTCTTAATCACTGAAAATTTTAAGATATTTATATAGTTTCTTATTAATAAATTACAAAAAAGTATTTATTTATAGACACTTATACTTTCAATAGCCTAGATAAAAGCATCCTTACTCTTTCTCTGCATCTCCTTCACTTTCTTCTGCATGATCAAAGCTCCAATTATTTTTAAAACCTCCATCTCTCTTGGACTGTGATCTATCCAAAGCTGAAATGAGAACAAGTTAAGATAAGTCTTGATTTCAAGCTGAGTTATTAATCAACACAAACTAGAGGAGTAAACCAGATGTATATATTTTCCCCCAAGTATTTATTTTGTTGATGTCAATGTTTAACTATCATTTGACAAAATAAGTTCATGAATGCCGTGGTGACACATTTTCCTAAAATAAATACAAGTGAGTATCTGTCAACAACTTGATTACTAATGCAATAAGTTAGCAAGCTATTCAAAATGATGATATGAGTAGTTTTACAAAGATTTCAACAGTTTTACTGACACCTGTAAATTTGAGGGTTCCTTCTCTGATATGAACTGTATGCCAAATGAAGAGTCCTCACTTTTATTTCAATGTCTAATACCCAAGCACATATTTATTTTTTCCATACAAAAGCAACAGTGCTGAACTGCCCCAAGTACAATTTCAACTTAATGCTATTTTTTTTTTAATTCAACATCTGACACTGACCTGAACTAACATCTGATGTTAACTGAAATTTCAGTGCTAGCATCAACTAAGTAAAACTGTGAACTTTCTGTGAACAGTCATACTACATCAAATTTCAGATTTATCTACTGCAATATCCAACAGTATGGACATTTTCATATAATATGATGGTGGGGGGTATTCTTAAGTGAAGGAGTTCCAGAGCATGGAAACAGCACTCATTAAAGCAAGGCACTGTTCACCCCAGGCCCTAATTATTGTGACTAAGAGCTGTCTCACACAAATTCTGTATGACAAACTATGCAACAGCTTTGGTTTTGCTATAATTTATACAAGTCTTTCTTACTAGGTTTTTCTTTATATAGTTGGAAATGCATTTAGAAATAATGAATGCAATTCTATGTTTTGATAGAAAAGAAAAAAAAAAATCACACCCAACAACAGATGTCTAGGGTAAAGTATAAACAGAGCACACGAAAATACTTATTGCATATTCAACCTCTGCTTCCAGCTACTTTCATCTACCAAGGACTTCCTGAGTCATGGATGATATTTTTTGTTTAACAGCCTTTACTAGCTTTTTTCTTCTTCCAGCTTGCTTTTTCTAATCAACACTACTCTATAGAATCAACAGCATCTTGCAGCAGATAGTACTTCAGCTTAATTATAGATTACATTAATACGTATCTGCTTTTGTTTGTCCTGATTCAATCTAGCATCTTTTGCTCCTACTTAGTACTCCATTTCTCCAGTTCCTGTACTTGGAAGACAGTAAAAAGTTATCCTTCCCTATTCACTCATGATTGCATAGTGTTCTTTCACAGTCATCCTTTTCCCAGGCAAAAAAAGAGAAAAACCCCGAGTTTCTTTAAGTTTTCCTCAGATAAAAGCTGTTTTGTGCCTTTAAATCACTCTCAATGCCTATCTCTGAACCCATCTACTGTACCCTTTCTGAGATGAGGATACCAACACTATGAGGAATATTCAAGATGCATATGTGCCATGAATTTCTGCAGAAGCAGCATGATGTTTGGTGTGTTCTTTACTCCTTTCCTAATAAGACTTAACAATGGATTTGCTGTTTTCACTGCTATAGAGAACTACATTGATCTTTATGTACTAGATAATTCAATCTTTCACTCATGATTGGTAAGAACCAGTTCAGAGCCAATCATTACCTACAAAAATTCTCTTTCCTACTTCTCATTCACTTAGATTACTTGGCATTTACCTACACTGAATTTCATATATGATTTTAACTCACATAACCCAAAACCTGAGCATCTGCAATTTTCTTTAAATAACTGGCCATTATAGTAACCCAAGTAAAATTTGCAACATCCCCAAATTTTTTCACCTATCAAATCCTTTTCCTTATATCTGTGCAGCTATATTAACACAGAACCTTGTGGAATTCAATGGGTTACTCCTCCTACTAACAAAATGAACCATTTTTGTCCTCTCTTTCCATCTGTTGCCAGTTGTTTCTTAAGAAACTTTCCATTTTATCCAGAGGCAACTTAGCTTCTCCAAAAGCCTTGGGTAAAGGACTCTCCAGACAGAATGATTAAATTAATTCTGGTCTTCATTATCACTTCTATGAATTTGGGTTCGATGATCACAAAGCTCACTGATGTAAAGTTTCTCAAATACCTCCACTGCCTTTATAAAAGCTGCTACCATACTCGTTACCTTTTTACCTGTAGCAGAAAGATGATGCTGACCAACAAGTAACGTGCTACAGTCATTACGTCCTTTATCCCTTTTACAACACTTGGATGAATGCCATTTGATCCTGCTGCCTTTTGCATTTTTTGCTTAATGTACTGCAATTTCTTCCACTGATGTTTCATTTTGAGTCCTATATTCTATCACATTCCTTCTTAAGAAATATTCTGGCATGAAGACCTCTGTAAGTCTTGTCAAAGTGAGTGCAAGCAATTCCAGTTTTCAGCTATGACCTTATATTCTCCAAAGCTGCCTTTTACAACTTGGTTGTCTACTGACCCTGTAGATACTCCAGAAACTTTTCTGCTTAGTTTGAAGAAAGACTTATGCCTGTTATTCATCAAAGCAATTATTCATCAATTTATTTGTCTGCCTCATTATTATTACAGGTTTAATCCATCAGCTTTTTTATCATTCTCTATTTTTCTCATTCAGACAAAAGTTCAGATTCAAGAAACCTGAAGGTGCACAAGTCCATGGGACCTGATGACATGCATCCACGGGTCCTAAGGGAACTGGCGGATGAAGTGGCCAGGCCACTCTCCATCATATCTGAGAAGTCCTGGCAGTGTGACGAAGTTCCCACCGACTGGAAAAGGGGAAACATAACCCCCATTTTGAAGAAGGAAAAAAAAGAAAGACCCAGGGAACTACAGGCTGGTCAGTCTCACCTCCGTGCCTGGCAAGATCATGGAGCAGACCCTCCTGGAGACTGTGCTCAGGCACATGGAAAATAAGGGGGTGACTGGTGACAGCCAACACAGCTTCGCTGAGGGCAAATCTTGGTGGCCTTCTATGATGTGGTTACAGCATTGGTGGACAAAGGAAGGGCAACTGACATCATCTACCTGGACGTGTGCAAGGCATTTGACACTGTCTCGCATGACATCCGTGTCTCTAAAATGAAGAGACATGGATTGGATGGATAGACCCCTAGGTAGATAAGGAAATGGCTGGATGGTCACACTTAAAGAGTTGTGGTCAACGGCTCAACGTCCAAGTGGAGAACAGTGACGAGTGGCGTTCCTCAGGGGTTGGTACTGGGACCAGTACTGTTCAACGTCTTTGTCAGTGACATGGAGAGCGGGATTGAGGGCACCCTCAG